AGAGGGGAGAGGGGAGAGGAGAGAGGAGAGAGGAGAGAAGAGAGAAGAGAGAAGCGAGAAGAGAGAGAAGACTAGAAGAATGTAGACAGTGTGCAGAAGAGTACAGCCAGAAGTCCGCAGGTGAAGAAGAATTATTCAGTTAGAATCAAAGCGAGAGCCTAAGAGATTAACCAGAGTTACACAGCATGAAATAAGCGTGGATGTAAGTGAACTTGTGTACTGGAGAACCGGTAAAGAAAGCAGAAAAAGACAGTTTGAGAGTCTTGGTGCCGAGCGTGACGTGCTCGATAGCTAGTTTCCCCCGACATTTAATAGTGTAACATACTTGGTGGAGGACTTAGTCGTAACAAAGATCTCAAAATTTCGAGGCGCAAGAAAGATAGCTTGATTTTCCGCTTTTTTGCACGAAAAATGAGTCATTATCAAAGTTGAGTAAGATATAATAAAAACTTGGACTTGGACTAATTATTGTTAGGAAGAACACTGATCGATAAAGCATTTACCAAGTATAATGGCACACGTATATTTCTTTTATGAATCTCTAGGTAATGTTACGGACGATTCCGACCACTTACCGATGAAGCTAAAATCGATCACCACCGCGATCTCTCTCTTGATGCTTAATATTGAGATTCTAATACCTTCTTTTCAAGTGATTTGACCGTCGTAAAAGGTGTTGGTTCTCTTTAACTAAGTTTCCAGTTATTCTCTTGTTGTGATCGACTTCAATTCAAATTTGCCTTATGGAGCATAGTAAGGGAAATGTTTCCTTCCCTTTCAACAGCCTCTAATGGCAATTGTACTGAAACTAATTGTGTTTTATCAAAGGTGTGAACAGTTCTCAAATAAACCAATCAGAGCATTCACTGGTCTGTTAACAATATTACAAGTGGGCCGGGAGACCCAAACTGCAAAATAACACGCTTTAAGAGGATTCTTAAAGAGCTTTACTGTGAAAAATAAGAACATTAGAGTTTTTTGCTGTATAAACCCTACGGGCTAGTTTGAAGCACTGAATTTAAATTACGCAAACATTTTTATACTGTTGCGTTTAATAGATAAAATCTAGTAGATAAATCAGTTAGTACATAGCTTCCTCGAAAGTGACTTTGGCAGAGTTTATTATGTCGTGAGTTGGCTCGATCACCAGTGTGATCAACGAACGTTACCGTCCAAAAATGGTTCACAAAACATAGTTGTCGGGGGCGAGGGGTTATTTAATGAGTTTTCCTCCGGACACGCAAGTTAATTGACTTGAAAAGCTAAGTAGTTAAAAGCTCTCAAAAACGGAAATTAATTGAAAATCCGTAAAAATTGTAAAAGTGGGGGTTGAAAAGACAAACATCGAGGCTTACTTTTAAGGAGCTTGTTTCCACCTACTACTCAAAGCATTTCATGACGCCTTCATGAAAAGAAGGAAAAGCTCTTTCGTTTTTGTTGTAATTTTGAAGTGTTTATATATATGAAAGAAATTAGAAGATCAACACGCCATACCCTTGTAAACAGCTCTAACTTTAACAGTCATTGAACTTTGTCAGTTACATACATAATGAAATATAGACTAGACCATTGAACTCTTGGACTTTTTTTTACCATTTTTTCAATTTTTTTAATTATTTTTTTTAAGGACCTTTTTTCACTATTTTTTTATCGGGGATGGGTGGATAGGTATATTTTTGTTCTTTAAGTGGTGGGTAGTCACTTGTGACGGAAATTTCATGGATCTCACGAATTATATAGAGCGGTTTTTTCCACTGATTTTTGTTTCATTTGGTTAAGCAAAATTTCGGGGGAGGGCTGAGCAAGTCATATTTCTTCATTTTGTTGTTATGAAAATGGCTTACTGCATTTTGCGAAACGAAACAAAGCTCAGTGGAAATCTGTAAAGTAGGAAGGATGGGGTGCCAAATAATTTGTATGATCCGGTAAAATTTCCGAAAAACCAAAAGCATTAATTGTCGCAAGTGCCTCCCCCCTTGAGTGTAAATGTAGAGATACTTTAATTTCTACTACTAGACTTCTACTTTTTATGGTGCACAAAGTCGATACTAATGGGTTTGGCGCGGGCTTAGTAGTGCGTCAGACTTTTTTTAAAAATATATTTTCCAAGTGATTATCCAAAACTCAAGTTCACTTTGTTGAGAATGACATGAACAAGTAGAGCAGTGATAGCTGTGTTTTGAGGAACCACACTTGCTAGCGTGTCATTGGGATCTTTAAGCGGAACTGCCATGGCAATGAGGAGACAATACCGGGAAAACCTTTTTCTTCTCTATTGCACCAGTAACTTCAAGGGCCGTGCTGTTTAAACTTCCCACAAGACCACCACCAATGCGAGAAATAAAATGTAGATAAGTTGGGGTCATTTGAAGATGTTTATCATTTGTCGTGAGTTTGCAATAAGGAAGAAATCTGAGTCTCCCAAAAGAAATCGCACTTGAGATTTTCACTCAGCTCAAGAGAACTCATTGTTGTGCTGCGCCAATGTGACCAGCGCTGTGTGTTTGCTACAATCAGAAATGTTGGAAACGTAGTAGGCTTTTAGAGACAAAAATGTAGTGCATTTTGAGCCCAGTCGCCCATTAAAGAGAGTAGAAATTCATTTGTGAAGAAGGTGCAAATGTTTTGAACCTCAAGCAGTAATGCCGGGATAGGAACAAAAATGTTCGCGACGCAATTTAAGACCATGAGTACAAATTTGTCTTTGGACGCATAACGAATCATTTTTTTGTGAGTCTAAACTCCAGGAAATTAACGGCTTCTTCTGATATTCAGTTAATTCATAACAGAAAGTTTACACCTTTTCATGCAAGATTACAAAAATTTGTATGAATCAACGAGCCATTGCTGAGCCATGGTTAAAAATCATATCGATGATTCATATTTTATGGTCTGTGGAACTCCCAAGATACAAAGCCAAAAATTATATTGAGGTTAACAAGTTCGACTCGATAAATTTTTCCTGCTTGAGACTGAGAAGATATTATTATTGAAAACTGTTTTCCAAGAGGTATTATGAATCTAGCGGATCAAAAACATTCATGCAACTGAACACGTTACGGCACTTCCAGCTAACCATTCTGTAGATTTTTAACGATTACTCTACAAAAAAGTCTTCCGCACGGTCTGCCATTTTGACCCAGAAATCCTGCAGGGTCCTTCCTTAACCAGAAAGATATACACTCTAGCAAGATTCCAGAAATGAAGCAATGTGATTGGTCGATTAAGTTATCGTCCCTTCGACCACCATCATGAAAGCAAAATATAATCCACTTTCACCACAGTGATTAATTTTTAATTGTACAGAAACTGTTAGAAAATCCGGACGGACCTATGAAGTAACTCCTGAATAACCAAATGCTGCGAGAAATCCTTAAGACTGATGTAACACGTGTGTAGTAAAGACCATATGATTGTTGCTGAACAATAAAAATATTGATATAAGCACTTGTCAAACGGGTTGATGGTTGTACCTCAGTTACCTAAGGTGTAAATTCATCAGTTCGCAAGAATTTTCCTTGATGATAATCAAAAGATGTAAAAAAGCCAAATACCTGTACGCCGAAACTGCTAAAATTAACACAAAATTCAGTTGTTTTTAAGAAAACGATGGAAAATGAATTTATATAGTATATAATACAATTTATTTTTTCAGTTTTGTTTTAATTTGTTTTCCGACACGAACCTTTAAGAAACAGGTGATGTAACCTTCCTCTTACTTACGTAATTGAACATTTAAATGTACGTACCGTGCATCTACCGTATTGCTGGGTTTGAAGAGCGATCTTACTCACATATCGTCGCTAAATGCCGGCTTTGACATCGACCTTCTCAGTCATATTCATGTCTAAACATGAACTCGGCCTTAAGCGTCTTGTAGTAACCACCAGAATCGCCACAACAAATAAAAAGAAACTGAATTGCAATAGTGAAAACAATCCTTTCTAAACCGTTCGATGTGAATAACTTTCTCCCAATCAATTAAGTCAAACAAAGAAACAGACCGGTTGATATCGAGCCCTTATTATCAGATGCCGCCACAATCCGGATGTTAATTTCTGTATTTTCCACCTTTCAAATACAAATTAATTGATAACCTGCCGGAGGCGCAATTCAAATTGATTGTCTTGCAAATAAACTAGAGAAACTGAGTCGGTTTGCCTTTGCACATACCTTTATTTATACTGGCACAGAATAATTCTATTCAAGGCTAAGAGAAACTCTGGTCACCCTTAGATTGGTTGAAAACTAAGTTATGATTTAACACGTTTATATTTTCAGCAGCATGTAGATTTTACATGAATAATACGCAAGATTGGCCGAAGGCTTTTCACATATCAGATTCACATCAAAGTGAATTAAATATTCAGTTCACAACTGAGAAGATTGCTGTTTTAAAATAAGATTAGCCACGCTGGTTGGTTTTCGGTGAATTTGACAAAGCGCCTTCGGGGCAGCACTAGGGAACTTAAGACTAAAATTGCCTCAACGGCGCTCCTTAAAGTAACAAAAGTATTTCCAAGTACCTACCACAGCCTAACTTATCGTCCCGTAAATTTAACACAAACGAGCATGGTTGGTTTTCAAAAACTGTTCAACTGATAAAACATTGAACACTTGCTTAAAATAGATTAAAACGTTCCTTTAAGAGAAAATCAGAAAATGCCTTACGAAATATGCGCCAACAAAATGACTATTAACTTACAGCTGGTGTCTTTACTTGGCGCTCAAGACATATATATCAAATGAACATTTATTTTCCTTCACTCTGAACAACAATTGATTGCTTTCTTGTTCTTGCTGCCTGGTGGGATGCGTGAAAGCTGACTGGAACTCTTCACGAAGTAATCAATTTCAGCTGGGCACTGAAGGCACTGAGCGAAATTTGTCAGCTCTCTTGGAGTTCCATTAAAAAATAGAAAGCAACAACAACGAAAGAAAACCGAAAATTTGGACACAAAACGCGCAATTTTAAATTATAGCTTACGGAATATGTTCTTTACCAACCAAAGACTGAACAGCTTAGAAGCACTCCTTATGACCAGCTAACTGCATTGCTGATCCACGAAAAAAACCTGTTTAGGACTTGTCTTAATAGACCACAATGGAGAAAAAATGAACGTTTCATAGCAGGATTAGAATCGTATGGCGGTACTACTGCAGCTAAAGCGTATTAGTACGAGTCAAATAAGAAACTATCTCAGTAAAATCTTCAACCGACCAAACACAAGGCTTTCCGTCTTATCAATAGCTCATCAAATCAAATGCGGGGATGCTTTCGATAGATCAGATCCACCTGCACTGGAAAAGCGGCTGCTAAGAGCCGGTTTAAACCAGTAATCAATCTGGTGTTAATATTCAGAGAGAACTTTCCCATACGTTTTGACTAGATCGCCTTTTTGTTCACTTTTTTTGTTCGGCGTTTACTGAAAAAATAAGTGTTTGCCACCTTTGTTTGGAGCTAGTTCTATTTAAAGATAAACTGAGTACTAGTTAAAGATAAACTGTCAGTTTATCTAATTTCGAAATGCAAGTGAACAATAATGCTGACGGCAGCTTCGTCATCTTCGGTTTCTTTCACTGAGAAAGAAAGCCGCAATTAAAAAAAATGCTGTTAGGTCTGAGACAGTTGCAATGAAAGTACCATGTGAAACAAAAGCGGTGTACACAAGCCAACTTATCTGATTCTCTTCGTGCATTATCTGCAAAAGATTCTTTACAAACAATTACATTATGTGCAAAATAGGGTGCCATGAAGGACAGAAGGCCTTATCAATACTGAAGCAAGGAACAGTACTCTAATCTAAAGGTTTTCATGGTTCAGAACGTGCAGATTGGCAAAAGTTGCCGAGTCCAAGTTTATCTGCCCCAAAACAACCACTCCTTTGTTATACGCACGCAAATCAACTGCTACATTTTACCGGAGGGGGGGGATCTTATTCATGGGACGGAGGGGCATCTTAATACTTACAAAGGGCTACACAGGTGGTGTGTGCATGGCTCTGATGTTTGTTGGTGAGTGGGCACGGTTCAAAAAAAGCGGAGAATTATTCATAACCAGATTCTAAGAAACAACTGCAAGATACGGTCCTTGAAGAATTTTTAACGATACATGTCAGTAACTGTTTAAAATATCGGTCTCATTTCCCTTCGTATTTCCATTTATGATGCGTAAATCCGCCCAAAACATAGAGAAACTAAACAAGAGGAGAAACGGAAAAAAAACGACAAATGTGTGCTTCAATTTTCGAGCCATACATGTATTGTCATTAACAAAGATAATCCCATATATTGGATGAAAACGTAATGATCACTTTCAGACTTCATTTAAACCGTGGTTTTCTGGCAAATTTCATTTCAAAACAATCGAAAATAATAATTTAAGGATAGTACTTCAATCTGTTCTCAGTAAGTTAACACTTTTTTCTCTCCTCTCTCTTTTTTTTTCTCTGTTTTGCTCTTTCTCTGTGGAAGTTTCTTCAAGAGTTTTCCCTCTTCGTTTGAATTAATTTGGACTCCATCTGAGTTCAGTTTCCGTCTGAAAATCATGGCATAAAAAAACATAAAAAGGGTGGAAAATAAGCTTCTAGAGCTAGAATCCTCTAAAACGGCCATTTTTTTCAGTTGGGGTTATCCGTGGTCACGGGACTAACACAGTGTCACAGTCACCAGTAAAAAGGACGACTTGTCGAGGAAAACTTATGTATAGGACAGAGGTACCACACGGCTTACTTACAACAATGCTTTTCTTTAAATTAAGATACATTGGCGCTGATGGAACATTTTCTATCAAGGATTTATCTCACACTCCGTCTTTGTAAATAGATAAGAAAGCGTTAACAGATTTTGATTGGCAAAATAACAGTACCTTTTGCGTGGGGAATTATCCGGGCGCTGTAAACAGTCTCGTCTCTTATGACCGAAGTCGCCACATATGTGGCAGGTGCCTACGTCTACTGACCTGGTGAAATACAGTACAAGAAAAAATTAAGCAGATGTTCTTCTGTTGGATTAACATTCCTGGTGACACATAATCATGGTTTCTCGGCCTGTTTAGTCAAACCGATCCGCACCACAAAAACTCATCACTCACCGTCTTTACCAGCTTCAAAAGACATAATATAGGTACAGACCGAAGCATACCTCTTACACTGGTGTCCTTTAGTCTCACAGCGATTGCATGTCATACAATGAAAACGGCCTGTGTGTTAATAAAAAACAATAACTACAGGACAGGTAGTGTGATTATATTGACAGTCTCATGAAAATCATACTTACACAATCTAATTAGAGAGCCCACTGAACTAAATGATGTGTTTCTAACTTTATAACATAGGGCAAAATTGAATTAAAAGTAGATTTTTCAATAAAAAATTATTTTCATTATAATGTAAACCTTACATCGGGTTGGTGTACTTGCACCAAGAGATTCGTAGCGGTTTTCTTTGTTTCGCTTCAAACCCATTCTTCACCCATCTATATTATAATTAAATTAATTAATTAAATAATTTAATTCAAGCTGTTGTCCACCATGAAAATAAAAGTGTCAACAGCCATGACATTTGGAAAAAACGTTTACGAATTTCATCGACGGGGTAATCTCATGCGATGGCAAGCCCAGAAAATTTAGGGGAACAGAACTAAAATACTCTTACATGAAGGGTCCATTCATTTATACGCGGCTTTCGGCCAGCGAACTAAACTATTCTTGAATGTAGGTCCATTCAAGCGAAAAGCGAGAAGAGGAATGTTTCTCTTACTTGCTCACCCCTGAGTTTTTCAATCCCCCTCTAATGAGAATGTCTCTAACCTTTCTCGGGAAATCAAAATCATATAGACAAGAATACAAGGACAAGATCACCATAGAGCACTATACAGTGAGCACTAGTCCAATAATTACTTTTCAATTTCAATTCCTTGGGTCGAAGACTATAAGTAAGCCAGCTCAGTAACCAGTCAAGTCGCCCGGAAGTCGTCTCGCCCGAATTCATGTCGACCGGAACCTGAGTCATGTCGTCCCAAGAAACAAATACTTCAAAGATCAGACTTACAGACTGTAAACAGACAATATTTATCACTAAAGCACTGTTTGCTTCTGAAAACACCATGAAAATGATGATAAGAATAGAAATATGTTCTACTGACGACTCTTTAAGCGTTGTTCGTTTCGAACAACAAAGAAAAGCGTAGTTTGTTTGGTATGTACTCGTTTCGTACCCACGGACGTTTCGTAAGCTTGAGAAACTTTATCTTGGTTTCGGTCAGAGTTGAAATATGATAGAAGGGGTAAGTTTCTAGAGCAACTGTGGTGCCTGTCGGAGGAAGAGTATAACAGGGTAATTTAGTGTTAATAACTGAGTTAAAAACGTAAATTGGCTACCGCAATGAGTAAAAATGGAGCTACGCTATTGGTGCAAATATGGTAACGAGAAAACAAGAATCAATTAGTTGAATGAAAAGCACTCGTTGATACAGTGAGGTTTGTTCTAGATTTTTGTGGCTTTCCGAACTGCCTAAATGTAGGGAAAGACCGCATACTACCTTATGCCGTTTAGAACGATTAGGGAGATTTAAATGTCTAACTACTGGTTTGGATACGTTCTTGTGATTTCTTTCTACGTCGCGGAATTGTTCTCGGAATCGGTCACCTAGTCGTCTTCCTGTTTCACCAATGTATAACTTTTTGCAATAAGTGCAAGTTATGCAGTAAATGGCTTTGGCGAAGTTGCACCTAAAGTGATCAGTGATCTTAATGGATCTCTTGGGTCCCGACATTTTCTCTACGTTATGAATGAAAGAAAAAGTTTTGAATCGTGAGTGAGCGCATTTGAAAGATCCAAGTTGTCCATTAGTTTGAAATTAACTTCTGACCAATCTTTTGAAGGATTGGTAAAGTAAGTAACGACACCAAAAAGGTATTTCGATCGATCGGTACCTTCAGCACTTCTAGAATATGCCATTTTGGTGTGTTTACAAGTGATTGAAAAATTGGGCGACTTAACTTTTTTCTTCAGGGGACACGACTAAAATTACGGGCGACACGATTCGGGTTCCATACAACACGACTTTGGGCGAGATAAGTTTGGGCGAGATGACTTTGGGTGAAATGACTAACCGGCGACTTGACAGTACATGAAATAAAACGCACCTGGCATGACGTTACAGTACTTACCTGGCTTGACACATGTACCACAAATTTCACAATGTACATATTGCCTACCGTCCTAAAAAGTACAAATTGTTTTCAGTGTAACTGTCTTCACCACTTAATCAAAACTATAACAAAATTCTCTAACGTGATTGGTTATCACTTGCCCGATTTGGGCCATAATAGGACAGTGTACGCGTCATGTTTATAATTGGACAGTTAAAGGGACAGTCAACACGTCATGCCGGTGTAAGTGGACAGAACGCGTCATATGCGCGTGCTGTTACCTCGCGTTTCGCCGAGTTCACCGCCTCGCGGTCGTCCGATTTTGTTAACTCGTACGATTACAGACCGAATTGGACTCCACTCGCTCCTATTACCATTATGAATCAGCAATAAGTTAAATATCACCGGTTTAACGTCACGAACAGTGGTGTCCACGTTATGATTTTTTACTATACTATACATGTACCTTTGACATACAACCATTACATTTCTCACAGTGAATATTTTCAGGTGCTACATATCTGTCACAACTCTTGCAGAACCTAGTGAGATAATAAATTTTTAAAATCACAATCTTGAACTCGACCTAACAAAAAGTTCACTTACGGATATAAAGATCTAAATTAATCGGCTAAAGGTGTGGACTGTTTGGCCAAACTGCCCCAAAATCTTGGCACGTTGACATATATATGTACCTCGTTCGCTTAAAAAATTACTAATTTAAGCATGGAATTTAGCTTATCTTTTAATAGCAAAGCTGACAACCTTGGATGCCCGATCAGAATTCAACGAGAGCAAACATCACATTTTCATACCTGTACCCTTCAGATGAAGGAAGAAGCACATCAGCAGGCTTCATGTTCGTGAAGAGTCTCACCGGTGAACCGCGTTTAGAACCCTTCTGACTTTTGCTATTGAAATGTGGATGGTTATCATAGTCAACCTGTCACAAGAAATTACACATAGCTTATCGTAAAATATGGAAGGATATTAAATACCTTTCTTTCATACAGGTCAGGAGATGAAGAAATGACCTTATTCTCTCTGGTGAGGGAGTGAAGGAAGTATTGGTGAGGCAATCACTCATCTGGCGGTGGTAAATGTACATGTATATTCCTCTTCAGTCTAAGTGATAACCTCATTTCACCAAAAAGTGAAGTTAACCTCAATCAATTCACTAACCTAGGTAAATTCTCAGTGTGAATGTTCACGTATCCCATGTTAGTCATTAAATTTGAAATGACAGATACATCGTAATCCAGACCTTATAATCCAGCATGTTGAATGAGGGCAAGGCAGCTCTCATATGAGGCTCCATAAAATATGGAAATATCCAAACTGTTGGTAACTCAACCCCTGATTTGCCTGAAAGGAAGAAATTACAAAGTATTGGTAATAATGACAGACCCAATGAAAATGTAAAAAGAAGACTTGCCTTAGTTGTAATCAAGTGCCAGTTCTCTTCACGTAGCACTCACTAAATTTCTTCCCCATTTAAGCAGAAGTGGCCACCAAATATGATTCAATCAGCTGGTGAGTGTACAAGTCATAAACTAATCCAGTTGCCTTTTAGCAAGAATATCAACTCAAATGTTTTATGATGAGCAGTAATGCACGTTATCATTTAATTTTAAGAAAACATAAATATTGAAGACCTTCATGCGACAAGGATGGGCCTCTAACAATCAAAACATGTAAAAACATTTTCCATTTTTTTTGAGGTACACAACTAACATTGACAATTACCATCAAAATGAGCCTGTCTCCATGTATCCCAGATCTTTTTCACTGAGACAGAGAGAACCTCAATCAGACCACCAAATGGAGGATCCATCACTAACACAACACCCTTCCTCCTGATGAACAAGTTGAATACCTCTCTACTTGAGTGTTTTCCAAAGAAGAAATGATTAAACATATTGTACCAGCAATACTTGGATGGTGGAAAAAATTGAGCCTGTATGAGTAATGATAATAATAATAATTACAGTAAAAATACTGCAGAATCTTGTCACATTTAAGAAATGTTTAAACATGAAAATGAGTTGAGGGATATCTGCCACATTCCAACTCCTAGAGAATATCATGACATACATATCTGAAGTCGATGTCCAGAAGAAGACTATCCAAACAACCAGATGGAAAGTTATCAGATTTCCGGCTGGCTTGAATTTCTTCGTGAACTCTATGAAAACAAAACAATGGAAACATTGAATTGAAGTACATCTCCTACCAGTGTAAGTATTATTGTGACATTAACGAAACGTTTCACCTGGTGGGAGTATGACATCCCTTGAAATTGTACAATGCAGTTACATTAGATGATATTAATCAGGTTTACCAAATTAAATTTGTCATCATGATTTTTTTCTTTTAGTATAGAAAAGAAAGTGTGGAATAGACCCTTATGTGGACATATGAATGTAATAAATCAACCCAGTCACCTCATAAGATAGCAACAGTGATGTAAACAAGAAAAAATTCACTTCACCATGCATGGTTCACTCATGTTGTAGAGCGCAGAACCAACCCTCAGCATATTAAAGTAACAGAGAAGAATGTACTGCCTTTGCTACAACTTCCTTCAATGGTTAGACATTCTACTGTTCAAGGATAAGGACCATAAACCATAGGCCCCATCTCCTGCATCTTCTCTGTTCTGGTTAGCATGGGATATAAAAGAACTCATGCAAAGAGTAGAGAACCAAAGGATTCAAACCAGCTTTAAAGCTGAACTGGACTAGCTTGTCTAAATATTGCAAATACATAAATAAATTAATAAAACATGAATCAATACACATACCTTGGTGTGCCTACACATAGCACATTGTGAAATCCTAATTCCTTAAGTAGACAAATGAGGAACTGTGTTGTCTTACTTGAAAAAAAGTATTGCTAAAAGGGAAGAAGAAATAATCATCTACATGCACCAGTGCAAAGTAATAGAAGCATTCACTATACAATCATGTAATCGAAATGCAGTAAAATAGGGGCACTAGGGACATTGCAAGGATCAATGAGAGTATAATGGAGGGACTGAATTACATCAATTAAGGAACTGGTCTGATTTATCAATGGACAGGTATGGTGTGCATGTCAGAGTAGTGTTCAAAAGGGGGCTGAAAGTCAAATGTATGTGGGCTAGTTTCACTCATTCCCGATACTACAACACAGCATCCATGTTAGTGTGTCATTTACATACATTGTTCATGATACATACTGCTTGTGTCTTTTCATTTTCTTTTGGTCTCAGTATGAGAGTTGGCTTGGACAAATCAACGGCTTCTTCATAATCATGTGACAGATGATTTTTCTTTTGGTTATGCTGAAACAGCAGGCCACAAGAGTGACAAAGAAAACTTTTCTTCCCTTGAAGATTATCTGATTCATGGAAAATGCTAGAGTATCTTAAACAGGCTTCATTATGTGACTGTCTGAAAGTTTGTATCATTCCTTGATGAGCCTCCTTCCTAGCCTCTGACAATACATCTCCCTCCCACTGAAAAAATGAACAGTGTTTTCTGTCTCTGGATGCTGAGCAGGCATAGAACCTGCGGGGTAACCGACCATCCTTGTAAAATCTTTCAAACAGGAGCATTGGTCCTTAAAGGCAAAGCAGAGATAATAATTTACATATGGTTACTTCTGAGGGAATGAGAATAATATATTGACCAAAAAATGTAGATCTGCACTGAATCTTTCTTTCATAGTCAAGGAATTAATGAAAAAAATTAAGCTTTTTGCCACCCAAGGACAGTTGTTGATCTTATCAAGGGAGATGAAACAACTAAAAATTAAAAAAAAAAAAGGAGAACTTTCCCCATTCAAAAATGTTTGATCCCAAATAGCAGAATGCAGTATGAACAACACTTGATGCGAGGTATAGAGTATTCATAGGTCAAGTGATTCTTCTCATTGACTCTTCTCATTCCTCATTCAATTGTCCTTTATTCATTGATCAAGATAGTATATTTACAATACAATACTTGTATACTTTTACTTAGGAAAGTAGATTTATGACACAATTGAGTAATAGGAACTTTCCTTGCAGTGATAACGCTATGTAACACAAAACACTTTAGTAAGTTACTATTGAACCAGATTAAAAAAAGTAGAACAATCAAGAAATATTTATTGCCACACAACTCCAATTGTTTAGTGAGTCATTTTACCTTACAAGTGTAATCACATGGATGATTAGCAGTTATGTGTAAAGAGGCGATTCTACCATGTGAAAGTGATTTTAGGCAAGAGATACATGGCGATAACTGCCATGTATTTGTTGGTAGAGTCATATTTCAATTACTGTTAAAGCCAAATTCTTGTGAGTATAAAATTGTAAGATGCCACCGGGGATCTCAAGTTTGGATCTATCACATGACAACCACACTGTGACCCATACAGCAGTGAATAGATTCAGCTGATAACATTTTGTTGCAAAAAGAGTCAACACTGGGACAAAGCAAAGTCATGTAAAAAGAACTGTGCAGTTACCATAATAATAACATACATGAAAAAATTACTCAGTTCTGATTGGTTAAGATAAATGCAGTTTTCAGGTAATATAATGCAGAAGAGGGTTAATCCAGTGCAAAGAAAGTAACAAACCAGACATTCTGATTGGTCAATAATCAAAGAAATTCACAGATAGCAAATCAAATGCGAGCCTTGGATGCCACAACATTTGGCTACGCTGGAAATTTGCGAGTGAAACAATGGCTGGCGTTTTAAGTATGTTTTCTTTCGCCACTGTTTCAACAATACAACAGCTGAAGAACAGCTCTTACAACGAAAACACAATAAAAAGCACTGCTTTTTGGTTGTTGGTTTGGTTAGTCCTGATACTTTAAAATAAGCTTCTAATTTTATGTTTTAAACCACAAATGTTCGACATCAAGAATTCAATTCAACAAATCCTAAAGCAATAATAATTAATAAAGAGGCAGCTACAAATCAAAGATGAGACGTATTAATGCACTTCAGCTTGCAATACAATCATATTTCAGAGTCGACACTCAGAAAATGGGCGCATGACCTACCGTGAGGACACTCTGGGGCTAACTCGGGATTTTCTTTGGACAAAAAAACTTCAACTCCATATCTCTTCGCTTTTAGGTGCTGGTCGTCCATGATGATCCGGCTTGTGCTCTAAATGAAGACAGTAGAAGTCCATAATTTTGTGGTCAGCGGTTAACAGCGAAAGGCAATTCAATGTATCACGGCACATTCTAATATCAGTCTTGATGTTGTAGTTTCTACGAGCGTGGACGGGATAATTTTTAGTGTTTGTTCTTTGAATAGCCAACAGTTCAAATCGCACCATAACTTTGAATATCTATATGATGTTTTAAAACGGTTTTAATTTTTTCTAGACCTCGGTTCCAGTCCTCTATACGCGATCTTAGCTCAAAGACCGACAGATTTAACGACCTTTCGTTGTAATTCTTCGCGATCCAATCCGACTCGCGTATAGCTCCTTACTTGTAAGGGAATATTTTCCCAGTCCTTGTTATTAAGGGACGAGCTAAAGTAAGCCAAAGTAAGTTTTCTATCGAGCATTGATTTTGTATTTTAAAACAACAGAAACGTGATCACCAATAACATCAGTCAAATGTTTGCAGAGAACGTGTGACTCTTAAAACTATCTTGTCGTATGTGACATCATTGTGTAAGAAAGATTCTCATTAGCCAGTTTCCAAAAGTTTCAAAACAAATTCTAGATGAGTCTAATTTTTACCCTTTTGATCGTTTGGTAACCTTCTCACTTCGTTTTGCATAGGAATAGCTGTTAGTGGATTGATGCTTCGTCTAAAGGCAAAAGAATTCAGCGAGGAATGCGTCCGACAGAACCGATTTATAACACAGCAATCGTGTACTGATCGATCTAAAGGACGCATATAGGAATTCAGCGAAGTGTCTTGCCCTTTTGCAAACTTTATCTCCCATTTCCTTGCGGAATATTGCGTGTTTCGTGCTCCCGACGAATTGAAATCAAGAAGCTTCCTTAGAAATATTCCCAGTGTAGATTTTAGGGTGGAATTCTAAAATTCTTGTTTCTTTCTTGGAATCTAAAAAATCATAAACGAAAGTTTACTTGAAGACCTTGAAGTATCTTTTCTTGAAGTACCTTGATCGATCTAAAGGACGCCTATAGAAATTCAGCGAAGTGTCTTGCCTTTTTGCAAACTTTATCTCCCATTTCCTTGTGGAATATTGCGTGTTTCGTACTCCCGACGAATTGAAATCAAGAAGCTTCTTCAGAAATATTCTTAGTGTAGATTTTAGGGTGGGATTCTAAAATTCTTGTTTCTTTCAGTTGGGATCTAAAAAATTATAAACGAAAGTTTACTTGGAAACCTTGAAGTATCTGGCGGAAATTGTGGCGATCTTCAGCTACAGTTGTCGCCGTGTTATCTGGCGTGATTTACCTGGTATTCTGAAGGCCTTTGATAATAATAATAATAATAATAATAATAATAATAATTATAATGATGATGATGATGATGATGATGATAATAATAATAATGATAATAATAATAATAATTATAATAATAATAATAATAACAACGATAATAATAATGATAATTATAATAATAATAATAATGATGATGATGATGATAATTATAATTTCAATTTCGCCATTTCTATCAATCAACCAATAGTGCAATATGTAAAAATTACATAATGATAATAATAATAATAATGATAATAATAATAATAACAACGATAATAATAATGATAATAATAATAATAATAATAATGATGATGATGATGATGATAATTATAATTAATAAAAAAATCTTAAAGGAACAACTAAATATAATGGTCTTGACTTAACTCTCAGAGTTAACACGCTGTAGTTATTATTTGATCTGGTAAATGTTATCAGAGTGAGGACTTAAGATAATGCCTAGGGACTACTAACAATTCCTTGTTGGCAGAGCGGGGTGTTCTCCTAAGCATATGTTTGATTAGAGAGTCTGTTAGATGTTTAGGTCCAATTTCATAATTTGCTATAAAAGTTAAAATTAAAATCTTGAACTCAATCCTGTACTTGTCAGACAACTAATGTGGTTCTTTTAAAAACAGGGAAAAGTGGTCGTATTTCTTTTGAAGAGAAGGAACGAAACATATTTTACATATTGGAGTATTAAGGGAGAACAGTTACTTAAGAAGAGTTGTAGTAGCTACAGTAGTTAGAGACCAGCATGAATGCGTGGAAATCAAAGAATTGAATGCTCTTTTTAAAGATTCTTCTAGTTAAATCACTTGGGTTGTCGTTACTTTTGTACTCACTGTCAAAACTTACTGCACTGTTGGATTCTAAGCCGGGAAAAATTTTCAGTTTTCTTTGTAATATAAGAGAATGTTTACGTGCGTCAGAATTAAAAAAACGGGAGCTATCCGTATACCTAGGGTAGATTTTGAGATGAAATCTTTCATCATGGTTGGCTGGCACAACTTTTTAATTGAGCGAAGAAATTGGGAATCGTTATCTTTCTATTTTTTTTCACAGAGGCATAACAGCCTAAACTTTCTTTAAGGATGTTAATACGATTTAAAGAATCGTATCAAAACTTTCAGTTTTTCCATGGAAATACACTGCCTTTCTTCAGCCAGATTAAACGCCAATTCTGAAAATATGCAGATGAAAAGGCCATTGTTCTGTTCAGCAAAAAAGAAATCTCAGTCATTCGACAACCATTCTCTGACAGGGGATGGTCCTAACACGAACGTTCTCAATACGCCATTACTGGAAAGTTTCCTAACTAGTTTGTTAAATGCTAGACCTTTCTCAAAGCTAGGTGTTTAGGCGACATTTCAACTGCTTTCAAATACTTTCTTTTTAATCCAGACATAAACACGTTATGATACAAAACCGATTAACTTTAATTCATAACGAACCTTCACATAATTACAAATAAGCAACCCGAAGTTTCTCTCAATGGAAAACACCACAAAAATTCCCAATTTATGAATTGTCTGGAGCCACACCTGGATAGAACATTAGCGCCGGACTTTTTTGGGTCTTAAAGACTGAAAAAAACCGTTATCCTTGAGGACTGAGCCAAACCCTTCAAGATCATGTAGATGGAGAGATCTTCGTCATGGAAATTAGTGAAAGGAAAGCCTTCTTTAAACCAGCGAACGAAATCTTCAAACACAGACTAAGTTAAAAATTGAAGTTTAATTACTTTAGATGGTTCAACTCATAAACAACTTACAACGTATAAATTTTCAAAGGTTTCAGTATCTCATCATTCCACCTCCCGATAGTAGATGTATGAAAAATGCAAATATCTGCCACTCAAAAAATCAATAAAATTATATGATCAACTTAAAAGTTCTTGCTAAACATTGCACATGAGTGGCCATGGTAGGGAAGAAGAGTGTATGGAGAATATATATTTTCGAACCTTTTTGAATAAGGAATTAGATTCTTATCTAGAAGTTTTCTTCAGTGGCTAATGAACTTCATTGGAAGTAAGGTGATGGCATCTTACACATCAACTCACGTGAATAACCGCCAATTAAGACTGATTTTGGCCGTGGAGATATTAATTATGACACTTTCAAAGGCCAATGAGGAGAAATGAAGACAAGATAAGAAAGTTTAATGCATTCCGTTATTATATAATTATTTGGATCGAAATCTTACTTGCACATGAGATTCTCATTTGTCCAAAATTATTTTTTACTCCATTACAAATAATTCATATGCCATCGGTATGGTAATAAGTCGAATAACATGTGGCAGAGGAACGCGCGTCCGGCAAAGCTAATAATGTCAATATTCAGGGCCTGCTCGCAGGCAAATCCACCATGTTTCATATCTATTAAAGGGGTATTCAAACTCTTGTGATTCTTTGTTTACTCTGTGTATTAAGACGTTGTCAAATTAAAGTCTAAGCAGTCGAAGTCACACCAGACAGGTTTGCCCGAAAAACAAACAAACTGACAAACGAGATCAAACAAAAAATAGCGGGGTACGAACCGTTTGGGCTGCAAGCCGACCGAGGCATAAGCAGCGAATTAAACCCGTGAGATTCTAGCCGGCGAGAGGACTTTGAGTGGTTTGTGTGCCAAAACCCCTGCGAAACTCAAGCTTTCACGTCGCTCGCCGGCTCAAAACGCGTGGGTGTCTCCCGTGTCATAGCATCAAAGAGAGTGTGCTCGTAAGCTAAGAAACCATCGAGTTTTTTTAAGATTAAAATCTTGAGGTCAATTTGAGAAACAAACCAAAATGCAAAATGATTTCAAGCTTTTTAGGAACTTAAGATCGAGACTAATCTTTCGAGTTGCGAGTTGACAGTTGTTTTTTCAAACATGATGAATAGAGGAGTTTTAAAGGTGTGACAGTGACAACATGGTGTAATTTGAGTCTTTAAAAGGACAAATCCAATACTGTTTTAATTCTTTTGTGTATGATAGCATTAACTTCACTACTTTTTTTCTGTACCGAAACCTAGGCCGAGAAAAGAGTCATCACGCGAAAAACGCGCGTGGAAGGTTATAGATGTATCATTAACTATTGTGACGTCAGACCAATTTACTTAGATGAGTGCATCATTTAGAAAGACACTTTGGCGGAAATATTGACATGGATTGGACTAAAAAACCATTCAGCTCTGAAAACCAATAACTAATGTCAAGCAATGAAGCTGTTGGCGCATTAAAATGAGAGCAGGTGCAAGTCATCGACAAAAGAAAATTCGTTATGGCGAGCGACAAACCGTTGAGCAATGAACTTGTTGAGAAATATCTGGATGATCATCAAGATTTTGCTAAGAGCTACTTTGAGCGAAAGGCAACTTCCTCTATGGTCGATCACTGGATGAGCAGTAGATCGCACAGACCTGGCTCACGGGCTATGCAAGTGAACCATCTTCAGAGAGACAGCATCAAACCTCAGCTAATTCTCAAAACAGATGGTGAATTCGAGAATGACAAGCTGAACTCAATATTTAGATCGCCTCGCGATGAACGGAAACGTTCTTCACCTCGACGTAAATCCAACCTCGGAGATTTGGATGAAAGAGAATTGTTTATGGAACTGATAAGAGACATCGCAAACGAGTTAGACATAAATATGCTGAGCCACAAAATCCTTGTTAACGTTAGTATATTGACAAACGCTGATCGCTGCTCGCTTTTTCTTGTACGAGG